GCTGTGCGCCTTTCAGCTGTGTAACACAAACTTGGGGGAAGAATAGGGGAAGAAGAGCGCTAAATACATTGTTCCTCTGCCTTTCACTTGGAGGGAACTCTCTGCCCGTTGTTGTTTATAATGAATTTAGTTTTAAGCAGGGCATGTGGGGGGGGTTTGTTTTGTTTTTGCTGACTCTGCAAACTGATACTTTGAGAGAATTGTCTGGGGAAAGCAAAGAGTCCTTTATTATGTCTGTCACTGCCAAGTGATTTGGCAGATTCCTCCATGAGATGCACAATCTGATAGGCTGTGAGAGAGCTTGGCTGGCCAGTTACCAGCAGAAAAGCTCAACTTAAACACTTTTAAAATCTTATTATGGCCAATTTGTGGTTTTGGCTGAAGAAAGGAAGAGGATGAAAAATAGAGGCAGCTGGGTGTCAGTGAAGGATGGAACATCAATATCATTTTTGTTGCTGTGCCACATGAAAAATACTGGCTTTGTACGTACGTTGGATCTAGCTAAGGCAAACACGTGCACTGGCTAGGTAAACCTACAAAAATGATTCCATTTGTCTTAGCATTTGTCTGGAAGACCGAGGTGATGTATCGCTGTCTCATGAATCAGAAGGCAAGGTCCTTTCATTTGGCTAACTGCTAGCGGACAGAGGGCCCGGCGAGGGCTCTTAGAGAATCCGTGCTGCTTCCCGAATTCGAGGCCAGAGGGAGTCCCCTTCAGCCTCAGCACTACCACCGCCAGTCCAAGACTGCCTTGTTTGTGCCTGAGGGCCACGAGGAAGGAAGGGGCTCTGAGCCGCCAGAGCTCCCACCCCAGGGGTACCTTGGGGAAGGAAGGCTCTCCCTTCTGATTTCCAAAGTCAAAGCAGCGCAAAGAGTCTGTTACGTAGGCCTAGGTCTGGACATTGAGAAATACTTCAAGCAATAGCTAGTTTCTGGTCCTTCTTGAAAAATCTGTTTTGTTTTGATCATCCCCAAAGGCCTACCTGTCCTGGCTGCATTAAATAATCTTTGAAAAGTCTAAGCGAAGATACATATAGGTGTTGGAGAGCCGTACAGTCACATAGCAGGAGAAATGCTGGGTGCTTTGGTTTTACGGAGTAAGCCTGTCAAATCAGCATTTAAAGCATAAAATTGTCAACTCCCCAGACAGAAAGTATGCTGAAAACGTAAAAGCCTTGTTCACATTATGGTTCGTAACCTAGTTTGAATATTACGTCAAACATGGTAAGACAGAGGTTCCACCCAGCTTTTGCAGCCAAGGGTAGAAACCAGGCCAAAGACTACCTGGGCCTAAAGGCAACAGGACAACATACGTTAACATGGTAACAACAAACTATTTTGCCGTTATGCATAGGGGCATAACTTTGCCAGGTTAACTCGGAACATAAATAAATCCCTATATGCAGAAAGAGTAAGAAAAGATAATGCTCAGTGAGGGAATCGCAGGACCTAAACACCAACCAAGGTTTACTATTAAACACCATTCACAAGAAGCCAGGGTGGGGAGGGAATAGGAGGTTAATGGTTTAAACAAGGTAAATCCCACATTTTGTAAAATAAGCGTCTTTAGGTTAATGCCAAGAGACAAAATGTGTCGTCTTGCTCTTTTTTGGCACTTAGTTAAGAAAAACCTTTGGTGAAAACAGTTCTTGCCCTCCGGCTGGATGAGCACTGAGATACCTCTGTCGCAGAGCGACCGGGTGCTCGAGCACCCTGCTGGGCAGGGCTGGCTGCCTCTGCGCCAAGGAGCAGGCTGTTTCTTGGAAATGTTTATGCAATTCAACTGTGCTGCTGCTGAAGCCACAGACAGTAAAAAAGAAAAAAAATTTTTTTTAGATTCTTTTATTGCAAAATAAAAGCCTTCACAGACAGTAAAAGAGAAAAAAAAAAAACCAAAAAACACCAAGAAACACACACCCCCCCCCCAACTTCAGACCTCTCAGGCCATTAGTGTATCTCACTCAGGCTTTACCTTCCACCAAATACTGTCAAGTTTCTGTTTTGTTTGGACCTGAAGGTGGAGGGAGTTGGAGAGTTGCCTTCGCTGCTGTCAGTGCTTCCTAATGATGTTCCTCACTAGAGAAAATGAGCTTGTTTGTTTGAGAATCCAAATTCCCTGTGGGGCACAGTTTGGGAAACTGAAGATATGGGAAAGAAAATAATATCTGTTAGGGCAAAGTATAAACATCCATAAAGCAGAATAGCGAAACACCTACAGAGAATGTTGTAGCTTTGCCAGCAAACTAATTAAAGTCACTGACTGAGGAGGGAGCTGTGACAGCTGAAAAGTTAAAGTAAAAATAAATCAGAAGTTTAGTCTAGCAATTATAACAGGAAATTACTGCCGGAGTCAGGGCTCCTATGTTCTTTTCCTGGTTCTGCTTCCGACTTACTGAGCAAGTTGGAGAAGCCAAATTTTAAAAGTAGCTGCTAATTTGGAAAGCCTCCATTTCTGATGCCCAGCTGTACACACAGAGGACTTCACCGACTAGCATCTTCAGTGCCCTCCTGTGCATTTGTGAGGGCAGAGCATTTCCAGGCGCTGGCGTCTCTGAAGTCAGCTACCTGACCTGGAGAAACCTGCAGTTATCAGCCTGCTCAAAGTGACCATCTCTGAAAGTTTCCCCTGTCTGTGAATTGTGGCTAGCGCAACATATTGCTGTGGGAGTCTGATGTTTAAATGCTCTTTATGGCTGGCATAACATATTGTAGTGGGAGTGTTACATTTAAATACTGTTGTAAACATTTACAAGACTTCTCAGACACACTCTGTCTCCAAAGTCAGTGCTATTACTTTTGGAAATAAAGCACTCGGTGACCCGCACGTTTTCTGAAAGGACCACTTCTTAGCAGGGGTAATGAAGCTGCATTTCCAGGTCTGACTGCAGGAGGAGTTTCAGTGGAGTGCCACCGAAACTGAGAATCAGAAAAAAACTCGTCTTCTGTTCAATAGCATAGCCCCATTTGAAACTACAAATAAAGCAATCTGTGACACTTCAGGAGGAGGGGGAAGGTCTCTCAGTCATGGGAGCTCTCTGTACACAGGGTTCCTATTCAATTCCATGAAAATTTCTAAATGAAGAGAGCATGTGGCTCCTTCTTACGGGGACTTGAGTTGTGCTACAAATTCCTCAGAGGCAGAGCCAAATTAAGTGCCCAGAATAAGGATATCTCCATAAATTGACATTTTCCTGCCCTACATTCAATTACAATCTCCCATCCTTATCAAGGGACACCATGGATCAGGAGATTACACTCTGGGTGCCTGCCAGCCACTCATTAGTCATGGAAGTACGAATGTTTCTCATTATACCAGTGAAGACTTTTTTCTTCTGTGCAATACTTCTGTAAATATGTGTGTCCTAGTGTCAGCTTCATCTTTGCTATGAGCCAGGATATTTACAGTGGGTTGTCACATTGAGTGTCATGAAGCAAATTATTATAGATGTTTGCTTATTTGTAGCGGAGGTTGCTACTGCATCTGATCTTTTAAAGAAGAATATTGCTATGCTGAGGAATAAGCATGAAAAATAGAGAGTGTTGTTCACTGACACTACAGAAAGGAGGGGTAAAAAAAAAAAGCCAGAGTAGGTTTGGAGTCGTCCTGCTCCTCATCCGCCCGCCAGCGCGTGGGGTGGAGCGCATTCAATGTTCCCTTCCCGCTTGCCCCCACGTGCGACCCTGGAGGTAACACAGCGTACACCATCTCCATCAGCCACGGGAGCTCGAGTCTCAGAGCTCCTGCCAAGCTCACGTCTTCTGCCAACCACCTGCTTTTTCAACCCATGTTTTCACACAGAAAGCAATTTGGACCTACACACTGAGAAATCGTACAAGCTCCCGAAACAAAAACAAACCCTTTCCCAGCATGATGGGCCATTTAACTTTTGTAAACTTCATCTGGGAACCTTAAAAAAAAAAAGCAGCCACAGAGGCGTGACACATAAATAAATGACAAAGAATCCTTTGATAGGTGATCATACCGTTCTGCCACTATACAGGCGAAGTATCTCCCTCTAGGCAACAATAAACAAAATACAGTGAGTACATGGGCAGTATTTCAACACCTGCTAGAGACTCTGGGAAAATGGCTTCATCTTTACAGCTATCTTCAGGACAGCTGTATGCAATACTTTCATCTTCACCTTCACATATTAGCGTATTGTGCACCTTACTATACTTCCGTTAAGTACAACACACAGTTTTAGTCAGTGTATTTAGAAAAAATAAAAATGGTATTTGCATAAGGTCATTGTCTACTCTACTAGCTTCCCTAGATAAAAAGGCTTTCTTTAGGGGACGTTTAACATTTAGACATCATAACAGTCCATTTGAGAATCCCTTCCTATTTCCTTTAAAATGTAGAAATCTGTGAAACCATTTATTAAGACCAAGAAACCAAATGAAGTTCATGAAATTAATGATTTCCACTAATCAAAAACATGTCTTTCCTTCATACTCAGTCCCAGTTTGTGCACTCCCATATAATAATGCATATGCAGATACTAATGAATTGCCGCTATTTCATTGTTTAGAGGCTGTGCAAAGCTGAATTATAAAAAGTTTTCTTGATGATAGGTTCTAGTGGGGAATAGACAAAGATCTAGTTAAAGAAATACAGTCCTTTACTAGTGAGCTACTTCTCCAGATGCTATATATAATACTAGCAATATATACTCAATAGAGATGATCTTACCATAATGAAATGGTTATTAAAACTATTCATTGCAAAAAGTGCACAGGCCTATTTCTAAATACTATGTTCAGTGTCACTTACAAGGGTTACAAGTCTTCTTGAACGTTTGAATACTTCTTACAGAAGTAACTCTCAGAACTGTTAAACTAGCTTCAACATACAAACTCTTCATTAAGGGGATACGACTTTCATGCCTGCCTCCAGTATCTTTTGCCCAAAGTTTCCTAATTAAAAAGGCTTACTTTTGTACTGCTGCCCTGCACCCCTTTTTGGTCATTCATTGCTACTTCCCTTTGTTTTGTAGGCTCGTCCAAAAGGAGAAGGCCTGACTCCATACCAGGGCAAGAAACGCTGCTTTGGTGAATATAAGTGCCCCAAATGCAAGAGAAAATGGATGAGTGGAAACTCCTGGGCTAACATGGGACAAGAATGTATCAAGTGCCACATTAATGTTTATCCTCACAAACAGGTAGGAGAAGTGCAGACCTGCTGGCATACAGGCTTGGAACTAGGAATGCTCTTGACTTTGTAAAACGTGGGTAAGACTTAAACAGGACTTGACGTGGACTACAACACACCACAAAAAAATTGTTCCCCAGATGAGCTGCTGTTCTCAGTCCTGGAAATCTGGACTGGTGTCAGAGTTGCAAAATTTGAATGTCCTATCTTTCAGTAAAAAAAACACTCCAAAACAAAATCTTTACCTGCCTTTATTATAGAAACAGACTGCGGGGCCTTATAATCTGAGATGGACTACAACAAATTCAGCAGTAGCAACGGGCCTCCTAGTTCTTCTGATTCTCTTCATATTTACACCAATTTAATGTTGCATCCCACTGGTGTCAGTGGAGTTATTTCACACGTGTGCTACTTTTTTCACCTGTTGAAATAAGATTGGATTTGGTCAAGGGGCTATGTCTATTTATAAAGATTAGTGATGAAAGAGAACAATATTAAGATGACTCCTGCCTACAGAATTCCTTGGTTAATGACAGTAAAGCAACAGCCTGGTCAAAGAGAGGTTTCTCGGTTTCCATAATACCAAGTGATGCCCAAGCAAAGAACTTCAAGAGAAAGCCTTTATTAAGCTGAAAGGGTCAAGCCTAAGAAGTAGCTCTGCTAGGAAAGCTGTATCTGCCATCTTGTCAGCCATAGCTCACATGGCGTACACAGCCTTCCTTCCTGCTGCCTGCAGATTGCAGTTGCATCTATCCCTTGAGGTCATTTCCTGCGTTTCCAGCTCACGATGGGAAAACCGACTGTCAGTTCCTGCTTGTATCCCACCAAAATTAGTCACAAGCAGTCAACCAGTTCAGTGGTCTTCAGTGGGAGACAGACAGACCGACTGCATGAGCTCATAGCCCTCGTTTCCCTGACAAACCAGGGACAGGCTACAGACTGGCTGTCAAAGCTGACCTTTCATGCAGAAAGTCACTTTTGACAACCCCATGAAAAATAAATTTGGCCATCATGGAAAAATTTGAGGAGGATTTCACAATATTGCAGAAAATTGTTGTGGATGGAAAAGGTGAGAATTACTTTAAAAGCGTTTGGGAGGTGTGATTTGCCTCAGGTATAATTCATCCTAGCTGAATCTTAGTAATAAACAGAGCTCTGCATGGGTCAAGTTACCTGCTGCCCACTCAGAGGGACTGCTCAAACCATAGACAGATCATTTGGATGTACTTGCAACAGGCGCAAAGGAAATTCCATCAGGAGCCTTAGGTGTCTCATTAGTTACCTAAGTGCTTGCAAAATTCCTATAAAAACTCTTTCCATGGGCTCGTAAGGAACACTTCATACCATGTCATGAGATTTTGGAGGGGAGGGTGTCAGGAAAAAAATCCTAAAGGAGGATACTGTGACTTTATTTTGATGAAAAGACAGAGGAATATTGAAATTCATTGCAACAAGCAGGAAGAGGAGATACAAATAAGTTTATTAAGCTGTATCCCAGCCAGGAATATCAAATCAACTGTATTTCCTCCTCTTGTACACATATGCATATTCATCTAATTCTAAGGGCAAGATTTGGCTCAGTCTCTGCGGCAACATTGCATTCCAATATGCAGCCAAAATATTGATTTAGAATTGCTAGTACCGTGAAGCAATATGAATTGCAGTTAAAATGTATTGTTTGAAGCCTGCCACGCTTGTGGCAGAAGCCTTGGTTTAAACTTTACATACTTCACTACGAGATGATCATCCCTCCTTTCTATCATGTGAGTTTTTCTACCTTACAATGAACTTGTGCAATTCCCTGGCTCAGCCAGTGAATATCTTTGTTTCTGTTGGCCAGCTGAGATGATGCGATCCATTCCCCTTTCTCTGGGCTAATGCCACTCTGATTCCAAACCTGAAAACAAGAGGTCGTCTTTAGAAACTGCAGTCTAGTTTCCCTGACAAAACTGTGACTGGAAACTATATTGCAAGTGAGGAAAAAAAGCAAGGAGCTCTTTTTTTGTGGAAGCATATATACAGAAGGAAAGCTAAGCAATTTTCTTTCACTAACTTACATGAGACAATCTCAAAGCTTCCAAGGTCTCTGGTTCTTTGCCTCTATTTAGACAGCTTGTGTAGACAACTGCACCAAAATCCAGGCTGAGCAATGAAGTCATTTATCACATGGAAGTACAGTCTTGAGAGTGAGAGAAATTACAAGACCACTGATTTATAACACAAGTTTGTAAATATTTACCTTGTTCTTCTAAATTCTTTCCATCATTTATGTTACTGTTCAAAGGGTCACAAGAAATCACTCAAGAGGTATCCCATCCACACTATACAAAAGGCATTATAGACTTGGGAATATGTGTATTTTGTAGTAAAGAAGGTTTGCAAGTAGTCCCTTGGGCAGAGTTGCCCCTCGTGGCAGGGCCAGAGGAGCCTAATCTGCATAGTAGTACTAAAGTCAAAGACATACCGTGGAAGGGTTGCAGTCTACAGTGCTTCTATAAGCTGTGCTTGCCTTGGAGCCACGTACATGGTGTTTTCCAGGGAATAATCACAGCACATGCAGTGCAGGTTTCCACAGCTGAGCCCCATCGCTATGTTTCCACGTCATTCCCTAAGGACACCATAACTCAGGATGTGGAAGAGCTTTGCTCTCCTCCTCTATCCATGTGTTCATGTCCCACCAGTAGGTATTACAGCTATTTGAGATCTTCAAGACAAGAGTGCGTTTCAACTAGGCTTCCAGATATAAATGACTTGCAGCCAGTCACTAGTGCTCTTTCCCAAAATTTGAACTTACAGCTTCGAGTTGAAAGGCTTTACGTCCTGTTGTCTCTGCCTCGCCGCCGTCAGCTTCTATTTCTCAGTGTTACTATCGTCATTCTTTCTATTCTTTTTCATTCTTCCAGAGGTGCCCTGTGCTGCTTCCGATTAAACATACCAGCAATAGCCAGACAGTAAAGAAAACAGCATCAGTTCATGCACAGAGCCAGCAGCAAAGGAGAGCTAACTTTGGCTGCATGAGGTCAGCGCTGCTTCTTGACAGAGCCTAGTGTTTGCTAACCCATACATGTTTTTTGTCCAAGCATCCAGCTCCACACCAGACTCTCTCTAAACATTTATCAACGTTTATCTGTGCGGTGTTATTCTGCACCATTTTGGAAAAAACGCTTTACCCAGTCACCAGTACTCTTACACTTATGACTATTTTGTAAAAGCACAGTGAAAGATATTTAATAAGAGTCCAATATTCCTAGTTTGAGAGTTAAAGCACAAAAAAAATCTTGTTGTGCACATAAGATTGTTTTAGCAGTTATTTTTTAATTAGCACTGGTACACCTCCTTAACATTTTCTGTATATATTTCCTATTTATTCTTTACATTTTGATTACTTTGTTGGCACCTACCATAGGGGAGTCCTCATTCATGTCTGAGTTCCTATGCACTTCTACAAGTTTTTAGCAATCACCTTTTTCCCCCCTCAGTGCATTAGTGGATGTCCTCAGCTCATTATGTGCTCCTATTGCCTTCATTATAGGGGATCAGAGTATTTTCACTCTCATCTGAATCTTCCATTAGACAGTTTTTCCAACTTAAACAATTCATCTAAGAAAAGATGCTGCCTCTGCCTAGAAGCCATGTTTCTCTTGTGGCATTTTAACTCCATTCAAGAAAAAGAAATCAATATTGCTTTATAGTGTCTGACACTGCAAAGTCACCACACTATGTGATGTGATCACAGTACAAGTAATCCGTAAGTGGATTTTTTTTTTTTTAATTTAACAAAACCCAGATGAACTGGCAAGACAGAAGTTTGACCTCCATTCAAGCTCAGAGACTATTTAGCTCTAGTGAAATAAATTATTCCCACTTCAAAACAATTTTGTCAATATTTCTCCTCTGCAATGTGTTGGAAATTCATTATCTCCTTTTCTTACTCCTTGCCCTACCATTTGGTAAACATATCATTGCAGCCTAACAGATAAAAAAAAGTTATCTTGAACAAAAAAATTAATGGTCATTTTATCAGCAGATGCAAATCACTGTTGGTTCCTCAACATTAACTAGCCTTATGTCAAGTTACAAGAGCCTCCAAAACTACAAAAATCACTTAACTGCAGACGACTCAGACCATGTCTAAAACCAGTCAGGTGCCACATTTCCCCGGTGAGGGCATATTATAAAAGTCTCCATTCACAATGGTGTATGCAGAATGAAAACTCATACCAGATCACATCAAACTCCCCTGTTCCACATCTGACCCTGGGCAGTAGAGGACACTTACAGGAAGGTGTGGATATAGGACAAGACACAGCAACCACCTCCAAGGATACTTTTTCATCCTCTGGTATTGCCAAGTAAGTATCTCTGCATTCCCCCAGTTTCTCACCAAAGAGATCAACCTCTGCAGAGTCTATTCAATAGCTGAAATATAACCACACGGGCCACCAAGCTTTGCTATGTCATCCTGAATACTGGAGATTAGGATGCTTTTGTCCAATTTAGGAGAAAAAAAATTAAATCCTTATATTCAGGATTGCTTGCCATTCACTGCAGTGAATTAGGAGCTTGTTCTCAATTCCCAGGCTTGCCCTTTTCTCCAGTCCTCATCTCCGTCTCTCTTTCATCTTCCCTAGTTACTTTCCTCGACCTATGGACTTTGCTGTCCTGCAGGGCTTGTCCACATCGTCTCACAAGGGATGGTTCATGCCTGAGTACCCCCATGTAACTGGCTCAGGCAATAATGTCAGAGTACTGGAGATAACAGTCTCCACTCTGGATAGCTCTGGGGTAGCCATTCAAGCACATATGCTGGGTCTGTGAACGGCTTGTGCAGCTATGCTCAAATCTCGATTTCCGATGCATACCTTTCGTTAGTGGGTCCCTGGAGAGGAGAGCAGCCACACTTCCCTGCCACCTGCTCTTTGTTCCTGGAGGCTCGTTTCACTCCAGGAAATGATCCCGTGCCAATTCTCCACAAGGAATGTCTCGATTCAGCCCTGCGCTCTTACTCCA